GTAAAAAATTTATAAAATGACGATATATATCAATTAAATTTAAAGAATAAATAAGGAAAAAGTTTATATATTTATTTAATTATTTTAAACTTTTAAAAATTAATCGTAAATTTGATTAAAAATAATGAATTTAATTTAATATATAAAAAAAAGTTAATAACATATTTTAAAAAGATATTAATTTACGACTTTAAAAAAAAAAGAAAATGGAATGCACTTAACTTTCTATTCTATTTTTCCTTTTAAAATCGACAATAAATAATTTATGTTTGTGTTTTGTAATACGGTTTCATTCTGTAGAATAGTAAAAAAGTGTATTGAGGCCTTTCTCTTGGGTCAAGATAAGGAAGCAATACTTTCGTCCTTAAAATTAAAGATTTAATCGAATTTAGGTCGTAACTAAGGCGTTTGTATTATTCAATTATTCTTTATATTCTAATGAAAATGTTGAAATTTTATTCTTTTATTACAGTTCTATAGTTTGAAAGTAATTAATTCACGGAAAATATTTCCATTTTGAATTGTTCTTAATTACAAAATGCTTAATTAAGAAATTTTGATAATATTCTTTATACGAATGCACTAAAAAAATTGGAAATTAATTAATGAAAAATTTGCAAAATATATTTTTTAAATTGAAATAAAATAATAAAAAATTTTAATTTATTATTTAATAATCCAATATATAAAATTTATATAACTTGTTTAAAATTAAGGGAATTTTTCTATGTATTTTTGTTTATTATTAGATGATAAGTAGATGATAAATGATAGAAAAGAAGAAGAAGAAAAAAATAATAATAATAAAGAGAATCACAAATTATGACATTGGTCATACAAAATCAGGCCATCAAGTTTCCCTTGACCATTTATATATTTTATAATCTACAATTATATATATGACCCAGTCTGAAACACCGAATGAATAAATATAATATATATAAATATTACTGTGGTTTAACCACTTTCGTTAAAGGATGACAAAATACATATTTAATATTTCGAGATAGATTGATCAACGTTTGATTGATGGCAAGTCGAGTACGATTACGAAATTATACGAGCGAGTATAATTAACACGGTAACTGAGGAATATTAATGAATATTTCATAACTCAATTAAAATATTATCTAGTTTAGGTGTTAGATGTGCTTTCTTTCACAAATCTCCTAACAGACATCGCCCAAATATATGCTATAATTAAGGGGATATCATCCGACGCCCTGAGGTGGTAGGTGTTGAATCAACAAGATTGTCAATCGTCAGGTTGCTTTGTGTGGACGACCTCTTCATGGGTTTGTATCTGGTTAAGAACCTCGGATTCTCAGAAGAGACAACGAACTTAGCATTTATTTTCTAGTCTTTTCTGAATTTAAATATAACAAAACTGGTTCCTTTTTTAAAATATTCTACAAGTGTTTTATTCATTCAAGAACATAATTNGGGATATCATCCGACGCCCTGAGGTGGTAGGTGTTGAATCAACAAGATTGTCAATCGTCAGGTTCCTTTGTGTGGACGACCTCTTCATGGGTTTGTATCTGGTTAAGAACCTCGGATTCTCAGAAGAGACAACGAACTTAGCATTTCCTACAACTGGAATTTGTTTCTTTCATTATTAACCCTATACTAACCCCTACTTATAGAACAATCCCACATCATGGGTTTAACATTGTAATATTTGGATGTCATTACAAGTATCTATTTTCTGGGTTTCTATTACGGAGCAAGTGTCAAGAATTATATGTGGGTAGTTTCCTTGATTACAAAATCTTCTTGTCATGGTTAAATCATTGCATCAATTTTCATATCAATGATTGATGGTTTATTATTGAGTATATTTAAATATCGAATGATGGAATAAAATGATATATTATGCTTCTCCGTTAATATCTGGCTATAGCACGCGTGGGAGTTATCATTTCTGACTGCTTGCTGTGGGTGTACAGGAATCCACAGCAGGATCTAACAGCAATTATTTTGAAGTAAATAAAATAATTAAAGAAATTTTTAATTCATTTTTCAGATTTTAGAATCATTCATTATGACACTTCTACTTCTTTACATTCAGAAAACAGTTCTAGATAAGGATTATCTGATATGTACCCTTTACGAAGACAAATTATAAGGACTAATATTTAAAACTTAAGTGTTATATTCTTGTGGGTTTTTTGATACGAAATAAATCATCTTTTCGTATATGTGTTGCTTATGAATATCATATTCAAGTGAATTAAACGACGATTTAGAAATGACTGATTTAGCAACTTAGCTTTAGAGTTTACTATATTGGAATTATTTAGCCTTTTTATAATAGATATTTGTACAGATATATTTTTCTATTGGTTAATTTGATATACATCACAATAATGAAGTCCCAAACAAATATTTTACATATAGAAACATAAATTATCTCTGATAATAATCAAAATATTTTAATTACGTTGTAATAATTTCAAAATTAATTAATGTATTTATGTAAAGTGTGTTAAACAATTTAAATCGTCGTTCTGGACTTCACACCAAATGCATTATTACATGATTGACGACGTGAGATTAAGTCGTGTGACAACTCTCATAAACAAAACCGATAATAAGAGGCTGTCGACCACATTAAGCTGGTGAACAACTTAAAAATATCTCGACCGTCGTAGCATTATTATTGACCAATGTTATTCAAACGACGCCTGCGACAGTTGCCATTTGAATAATCCTTGCCTAAGGTAAAATTGCTAAACCTTTTAAGTTGCCGTACGAGTGGTTGTCACATAAAAACTTGTCTGTACTTACAATAGAAATGACATGGTTTCTACAGTAAACAACAATTGATGATGGGTCTATCAAATAGTATTTGCAGTTTTTCAAAGCGCTCGGCTGTCATCTGTTTACATTAATTGAGATCGTAATGTGCATAATATTTTTATTTAAAGAAAATTATGTAAAATTCCTATAAAATTATATTAAAAATCGCAATCAGAATATAAAAATTTATTACAATTTCCTTGCTAAGAACTTGCAATACTCGAACAAGTTCTATTGAAATAATTTATGCGTAGTGGTGTATAATTAATTTAATGCTTGTCATAATATTCAAGAATTAATGATAAATTTAGTACCAAATTTAAATTTTGTTATAATTAAAATCTCTTTTTTTTACATTTAAATTCTAATTCCTATAGCATTAGTGATACTTTAATCCGATAAAAGTTTTAATCCGGAACAACGTGTGGGTGATATTACCTTATGAATTCGAAAGTATTTACGTTATTATAAACATAAAAAAACTCCACTTCTGAAATGTCGAACATATATTTTAATATAGCACAAAATCTCGAATTAAAAAAATATTATTTAGCTTGAAAAATTTGAAAATAAAACAAAATTTTAAATTTATTTTATAAATTATTAAAAATCAGAATTTAAAATGTCACAATTTAAAATTTATTTTAATGTATTTTCGCTTCTCAATTAGCAAATGTCACATTTAACCTTTATTCCAACTTTATGGGTGGATCTGACACATTTCTACTTTATTCTTGATATTTCTATTATATTTTTGCTAATAATAAATCATAGGAAATTACTACAAATGAAACAAAATTGTCATGCAAATTAATCGGTTTTCTTTTTTAAAATAATTTAATTTTTTTCCAATATTTTCAGAATTACATATGCTATACTTCGCTTTGAAAATACATAATTCATAATTTAGAATCTTTAAAAAAGTCATTACTTAAAATATTTTTTTACTATTAATTAACAGTTTCACGATCATTTCGGCGCAAAAACTGATGATCCAAGATATCGTCCACCAGATCCATGGTTTACTGACAGTGGTAGCAGCGCTAGTTCGACTCCCACTGATGATGGTCCCTTTCTTCAGTGTGCTTTGTGCCACGATCGCTATAATAAACCTAAGGTTTGTGATTAAAAGTGAATGAAATACACAATTTTTTTTACCAAAATAAAAATTTAAATAATGATATTTTCTAGGTTTTGCCATGTCTCCACACTTTCTGTCAAGGTTGTCTATTGCAACAAACACCTAAAGATAGTTTAACACTAACTTGTCCCATATGTCGTCATCAGTCTATTCTTCCACGCAATGGAGTATTTGGCTTACAGGATAATGTTATTGTATCCAATTTTGTTAATTTATTAGAGATGCCGAAAACGGAAGAACTTCACCCCATAGTTCGAGTTAAAAATTATTCTGAAAAGAAAACCATTGAATTACCCCCTATCGAAGAGAGCGCAGTTGAACAGAAAAGTCATCTTAAAAATCTTCTAACGAAGGTCTCTTTGCGAATACCAATCCTAAAAGAGGATATTCAGAATATTTCATTAGTTGTAAGTCAATTAAAAGAGAATCATCTTGAAACTAAATCTAAAATGTTGCATTGTCTGGAAGATCTAGAAAATACTCTAAAAGAAAGAAAAATTGAATTGGTTGAAGAATTAGATCGTGTTCATCAAGAGAAGTTTAAAGTTCTACAAGAACAAAAACATGTTTTAGAAATGTGCCTTTTAAATCTTGAAGACCATTGTCAGTATACCGAAGATGTCTTGAACAGAGGAAGCGATGAAGAATTAAATATTCTTTATTACGATTTGGCAGAAAAATTAGAAGATTTCGTAGCTACAAATTTACAAAATGAGCCCAAGGAAAATGTCTTTTTGGTTTGCGATAATAATGGCATCGAAGAAGTAGAAAATAAATTGAAAAGCTTAGAAGTAGTGAAAACATGTAAAGCCTCACCTAGTGAGTCATCTCTAAAAGCTGAGCAACCCATGGAATGCAAAATGGGAGATTCTCTATCGTGGACTTTAATCATAAGAGATGGAAATGGTTCACCGATGATAGTCGAAGATTCAGCTAAAAAAATTGTCTTGACTAATTCTGATCAAGAAGAATTTGAAGTGAAAATTATAGAAAATGAAAATAAAAGTTATACCATCAATTGGACTGCAATCCCGAAAGGGACATACACATTAATAACTAAACTCTATGGTCAGCATGTTACAGGCAGTCCACAATTAATTACGTGTAAAGGAATGGAAAAAGAACCACAAAACGATACAAAAAGAGAAAAATGCAAGATAATGACGGAGGAAGATGCCAATCTTTATGATCATCGTGTCGTAGAAAGTTCACAATTGATCCCTGTTTCAGATATAAAAGAAGAAGAACAAAACTACGATGAAGTTAGTTCATGTGAACATTTTGATGGTCAGGTAGATAATGATCTTTTAATGAAAATTGGAAGAAGAGGGCGGTCCAAAGGGGAGTTTACTAATCTGCAAGGTGTTTGTTGCACCAAAGAGGGAAGGATCATTGCTTCCGATAGCAATAATCAATGCGTCCAGGTGTTTGATAAAAATGGTAAATTTCTAATCAGATTTGGTGGGAGAGGTCGTGGTCCAGGTCAAATGCAAAGACCAACTGGAATTACCATTTCTCCAAATGGCAATTATTTAGTTGCTGATTATGAACTTAGAGTCGTTAACGTTTTCAAACCGGAAGGACAATATTGCAGACGTTTCGGAAGTGGAAAACTATTGGGTCCTAGAGGATTGCTCTTTACTAAAGATGGGAAACTACTCGTAGTAGACAGTAAAGCTAATTGTATTTATGTTATGCAGGATAGTAAGATTTTAGGAAAAATTGGGTCACCCGGCAGCGGTAAAGGCAGATTTTCCGGTCCTCATTATATTGCATTAGATAGTCTCAATCGCGTGATTGTTACCGATTTCCATAATCATAGCGTTCATATATATACATTGGACGGAAATCACGTGACAACTTTCGGTTCAAAAGGAGAAGGAAATGGCCAGTTTAACGCTCCAACAGGAATTGCTGTAGATTCTCAAGATAATATTATAGTTGCAGATTGGGGAAACAATAGAGTACAGGTAAGAATCATGAGTTATTTATACAGATTTAAACAGAAATTCTGCACTGTGTTTTGTACAATTTTCTTTACAGATTTTCGATAGCAATGGATCGTTTCTCTCGTTCATTAATACCAGCACCGATCCATTGTATGGTCCTCAAGATTTAGCATTGACTCCTGAAGGGTATATCATAGTAGCTGATTCTGGTAGCTACTGTTTAAAAATCTACAAATATCTTCAATAAAATGGTATCATTATATAAATTTAAATTAAACAATCTTACAAAAGTGATATCTAATAAAAATTCGATTTACTTTTTTATAGTCTTGAAGATTTTCAGTGAGATTTTCGTCTGCTTTCGCCAGAAATTTCATCCCTTCTAAACAGACCCTAAGCTAGCGTGAAGCTTTAATGTGATCTCAGAATCTCATTTATCATTGAAAAAGCCAAGATCTCCTATTTATTATACACGCATAATTATAAAATTGAAGTTTCCTTTTTATTTCTAGTCTTTATTTTCTGTCTGTAATCATCGTAGTCTTTATACTATGACGTTAATAACTTTTATAATTAACATCGATTAACAAGGAGATATTCAAAAATTAACTTGAATATAGTCATATTAATACAAAAATTCTAATTGAATGTTTAATATAATCAACAAAAAATTTAAAATTAAAGTAATTCAACAGTGTAATTGCCTTCTTAAGATCTCTTTACGAAAATCATTAAGGAAATTCTTAATAATTTTAGAAAAAATGACAAGGATATTGTTATAAATGAAGGAAGAGTAATGTTAACAGCTAATATATTGTTATAAAAAGTATACCAATTTTATACAAGAGGTAAGATTATAAGAATTATATAATGAAGTTTATTACAAGTTTTTTCTTCAGGGAAACATTTCAGTAGTTCATCCAAAATTGGAATTATATGATAACTATTTGCTCAATTGAGTAAATTAACACGCATAATGATAAAATTAATACTAACTTTCGCAGCTATGTAATCAATTCTATTAATTGTAACTTGAACGATGACGTATATTTCTACGAAATTACTTTTTATAACAGTTAAGTTTAATAGTATTTTTCCTATTAATTCACGTTTCACTCCTATTACAAGGCGTTGCAGAAAATCGCCCTCTGATAACGGCTCGATTAATATACAGTTCCGGCAGTAGACTTGACACCCAACATCGAATAAACATCCTCTATATTGTGAACAATAAGCGTAATTCATATTGTTCTCTTCTGATTTATCAGTTTAGATCCTATATAACATTACTAAATTTCGTGTCTGTAAAAATACCTAACTGTGCGTGACGTGTGTGGGTGTCAATCGTCATACTTACGTGAAATCAACCCTGTCATAAATAGACTTTTTTTAAATTTTATTTTGGCTCCTCCCATGCTTTTCTCGTGTTGCATATGAGAAATACATCAGTATTAATCTTTTATATATACTAAATTTTCATAAAACTGAAGCCACATTTATCATTAAGAGAGTGTCGTATAGAAATGGAATTTATTCATAATTAAATAAGTTATTTTTGGGATATCTCTTTATAATCTTCAGATTTTAACAACAATTTTTATATTATACTAAAGAATATATCGTGAAATTATAAATAAATGTATATTTGGAACCATTTACAGTATCATTAATTTTGTATGACTTCTTATAACATCGATTAATACAATTGGATATTGTGGAATAAACGACTTTCTAATAAAATAATATATTAACTGAAATTAAATAAAATGTACTCGGAAACAAATTGTATAATAAAAATATTTAAAGTATAAATTGCCTTTATAATTTTTTTAAAAAAACATTAAATCGTGTATTTGTAAACAAGTCTTTGGCTCTAAGCAAAATGAAAGATTTAGGACAATCTGAATTGACATAATCAAAAAAATGGTCTGAGAGAATCCTTCAATGACCTGCTGACTAGATACAACGACAGAGAAACTGGCATAACTATGTTAAAATAATTAATTATGAGCGCCTCAATTGTCCTCAGAAGGATTAAGGGGAAGAAGGGGAAGAAATACCATAATAAAACAATATTATACAGTATACTAAATACAGTCGACCCCCCTATAA